GCTGTAAGCGTGCCAAGTTGTACCAACGTTGCTTCCAGCACGGTGGATATAAGACCTGCACTGAGCCTGGTTGCACCAAGAAGGCCAAGCGTTACGGTCACTGCTGGTCCCATGGTGGTGGTCGGATCTGCGAGATTCCGGACTGCACCAAAGTATCTACTCAGGGTGGGTTGTGCTGGGCGCATGGAGGTGGCAACCGCTGTAAACTTGAGGGTTGTAGTCGCCGTTCATACCAGAAGTACGGATACTACTGTGTCCACCACTCGAAGCTCAGCTCGAATAGCGAGATCCCGCACATCGGTACGTAAGTATTAATAATGGCATGTGTTGTTATGTACAAAGTATTATCTTAAATGAAGTTAAGTTTCGCAAGTGCAAGCAGCAAGTGTGGATTGTGCGGAGCTTTTCAAATATTCATTTGATATTTGATCTCTCTTTCAGATTTATTCAGAACTGTTGACCCGTACACGATTAAAATAAAAGGCTACCCTATTACGAACACGTATTTGTTTTTGGTTTGCGGTTATCAATCCATACATATTTGGTTAACTTATTATGACCACCCGAGCAACAATGTTTTATCGTCATTTTTATTTTTGGAGGGGGGGGGGGGGCTTGTGGAAAACCAAAGCATAGTTATTATCCCCCGTACATTTTGGTGCTGGCTCCCCCTGTTAACGCTACATTCATTCGGATTGACTTGCGGACAAGCTTCTATGAGAGTCGGGAAAAGTGGCGACAAGTTCAAAATTGCGAGTACAAGACGGAGACGCTCTGTTGCATACTGCAAGTTAAATAACCCGATAGTGATGCTCAATATTTCACCTCCAGTGCTGGGAAACAGAGCCAGCACGTTCACCGCGTAGCCCTATGCAACGTAGGCGAACATGTATGACACTGATCCGTATACCTTCTTCACTTTCTTTGAGATGCTTTCACGTGGCACACAGAGGTCGTCACCAAGTAGTACACAGGTTTCATTCAATATGAACATAAAGTCAGGTAGCGTTTGGATTGAACTCCAGTCACTCATCCGTTTTGACAAGCTTAATATTACTTCGTTGAATTTGTTGTCAAAACCAACTCACACATTTTGCATTCAATTGAAAAGGATTGCTTATAGTAACTTCTTTTTTTTTCCGCTAAGACTCGTTCGCATCTTGGTCCGAGTGGCGGTTGATGTAGAAGTCAATGATGGCCAAGTACCCTTCCGGGCTGTCTCCCAGACGCCGGACGCTCTCCTCCAGCAGTTGTACAGCCTCTTGAGGGGTTCCGCGGCGGATAAGTGCCAAGGCGACGGCTTGGTATACGACCTTATCCCACGCGATGTCCTTGGTTTTCATGTCCTCAGCGAGTTCCAGTGCGGCATCAAATTGCTCCGTCTCAAGCAGCGCTGTGATCGCACCACCGTAAGTGAAGGCGTTGGCCTTCTCCTTGTGTTCATTGAAAATTTCTAGCGCTCGGAGCTTAAGTTCTTTGTTTTCCACCTTGGCATGACCCAGGACGA